ACAAAACATTTGAAAGTTTCGGTGCTACTGTTCGATATGGAGCTGATTTCTCTCCTATACTGACAGATTGATACTCGAATTAGAACTATCTTAACGGCTATTGGTTGAAATTGAAAATCATTAATACTATTAGGGCAAAGGAGGCTTCCCATTGTCGAAAACATTCGTGAAGTTACACAACGCAATTTGCAGCAGGAAAGTTTACGTGCTATACTTATTTCACTGCATGTTTTAATGAGCTCTATAAATAAAAAGAAAAACAGCCGTAGACACAAATAAGTATGTTCTGCGGACGTTATACAAACTGACAAAAAAATCTAAAAATAAAACGAAGTAACCTAAAGAGTTGTCCCAACCCATTAATTATTCACTTTTTCTCAAATTTTTTCTGATGTCGTGCCTGACACCTTTCATTTTATTTTTGTAATTTTATTACATATTATGTAGTACATTTTTCATTGTATCTTTTCATACACTAGTTTACCTTAAGCACATACACTACTTTACCTTAAAACATATAAGATACTAATCAACATCGTTGTAAACGTGATCAGCCAACAATATCTCGTCAACTTCTTTCTCCAAGCAAAAAAAAAGATATTGTTTTATCTCAGTGTGTTTCTTTCATTATTCGGATTTTATTACCATTATGATCATTCTGCTATGCTATGGATGTTTTTTTCATTATGTATTTAAGTTTAAACATTATGTACTGAATTTTTCAGTGTACTAGCATAAGAATACAGACAATTTCAGTATATATAAACTTTTTTCTTTTTGTATTGTTCATCATACTATACCCTGTATCTATTTTTGTGTATTTTTTTTCATTTTATATTCGGATTTTATTACCATTAAGTTCATTCTGCTATAATATGGATGTTTTTCTCTTCTCATTATGTATTTAATTTTAACCCATTATGAACTGAATTTTTCAAGTGTGTTTATCCTATTCATCATGACTATTAAAATGCTCCATTTTATTTGTGGTTTATTGAATAGTATTGTGTTCTCATTGTATTATTTTCTTTCCTTTTTGCACTTCACAAAATGTACCGCAATGAAATTGTTCTTCATTGCTTTTTTGCAATTTATTAACCTTTGTCAATTCATTGTATTTTTGCCTAATAACTTTTTTTCCTTCGAGCCTCGAGGACTCGATCCAAATTACCCAGTAGGTATTATTAGGATATAAAATTTGGGTAGAGAAATCAAAAAGCATATAGGACTACGTTGGTCCTTACAAATTAGGATTAGTTACAAATTGAATAGCTTGGTTCAATTCAATGGCTTGAATGACATGGGGCTGACTTACCTTGGAGGCCGCCTTTTCACAAATGTAATACTAAATCGCCTGAGTAGGAAGTATAACAATAAATGATTCACTCGCTTCTTTTCAACTGAACGAATCATTGTTCCTCACAGATTGAGATTAGCTACAAAATTGGATATCCATGTTCAATTTCATAGCTTGGAACCAACTTGCATTGGGGGCTGCTTTTCACAAACATAATACTAAAATAGCGGGGTTCAGAATTCATAACAATAAACGAATTACTCGCTTTCTTCACTGCAACAACATTAATTAGCCGAACAAATCATGTATTAATCGATGTTACGAGTGGTAATCGATGTCACGAGTAGAATAAAAAGACGATTTACCAAATTATCCATAATCCATGTTAAGAGTTGAACAAAAGCAACAACCTCTTTAAAATAAAAAACTTAAAATGGACATTCAGATTTGGACACGTAAGTTATTGAACAAAAGCGATAGCCTCTTTACGATTCTGATTGGACAACGTAGTCATTCCACGCCATTTCGGAATCTTTACAATAATGCATTCTGATTTGGGGCACGTAGTTGTTTTACGTCATTTTGGAATAAAAATCAAAAGCATTTAAAAAGTTATATATTTTTTAAACATAAGAACTCCGGTTAATTAAAGCACCAAGTCAGAAATCTTGTTCATATTTACAGCGATTCCCGCTACGTCTTGCTACCGGAAATTCTCCAAAGATGTACCACTGTTAAGCGCCACCTTACTCTTAAAGGGATCACTCCTTTCTCTCTCTTCCTCTCGAATCCAGAGCCGAAGATTCCTTCTCATAACCAAGCAGTGAGAAGAAGGTCATGTTAAGAAATAACAATTACATAATTAAACAACAAAGCAATTCTTACATAACAGTACTGTATATCTAACATACATTTAGGATAAATCCATTATATACATCTATGGCATACATTCTGCACAGCACACGCGTATAGTATGCATACAAGAAATAAAAAGAGAAACATCTCTCACTTTAACACATCTATAACATACACATAGCACCAGACGAAAATATTTCAGTCTTGTTTCTTGATGTAAATATTTACTCAGTCTGACACACGAAAGTCCTCTTCAGCCCGAATTTCAGATCAAAACGAAAGTCCTCTTCAGACCAAAATTCAGACCAAAAAGAAAGTCCTCTTCAGACCGAATTTCAGACCAAAACGAAAGTCCTCTTCAGACCGAATTTCAGACCAAAAAGAAAGTCCTCTTCAGACCGAATTTCAGACCAAAACGAAAGTCCTCTTCAGACCGAATTTCAGACCAAAATTGGCTATAAAAATGAATGATTGGTATGATCATGAATGAACTAAAAGGCCGAAACCCACATTTAAATTTAAAAACAATATTGGCTACATTATGTCTGATTCTCTGGTAGAATTTTTCGGAAAGCAAACAAGTACGCACAGTACACTTAAAACACTCCCATAAAATACTGATTAGAAAAATTTAAAAGACACTAACATTACAGCTGGATATATCACCAGCCCATCAATGTCGTTAGGAGATGGACCGCCCATCAGAAAATAAGCAACATTACATAGTTTTGACAAAATGTAGCAAGGTGATAGTGGTGAATGTCGGAAGAAGCTCGGACTTGAAAAAATAAATAAATAAAAAAACAAACAAACGTCTGTCCACATGTACCTCTTGCATTTGATGATTTCAGATGTAGGCACATGCATCAAAATTTATTTGTATTATTTATAATAGGCTTGGAAATGTCAGAGAAAGAAGCGAAAAGCATTTTCTATACAAATTATGTCCACACGAGATGATTCAAATGCAAACACGTGATTGTATACACGTGTGAATGATACACTTAGTTTTTGTAGCACCTTGATAATATCGCACGCTGATCATTTAAACGAAACTGTATGTATACTTATGTTGAAAAATACCTAATTTCTTTATACGACAGCTCACAGTATATATTTGTATTGTATTTTGTGATATTAGCACGTTGCCTCAATTATTAAATACTATTTTTCATCATCATCATCATCATCATCATCATCATCATCATCATCATCATCATCATCATCATTATTATTATTATTATTATTATTATTATTATTATTATTATTATTATTATTATTATTATTATTATTATTATTATTGTTATTGTTGTTGTTTCTCTTGTTGATATTATTATCATTATTATACTATACTATTGTTGCTTTTTATTTTGTCATTTATATTATTGGTATTGATATTATTATTATTAATACAATATTGTTGTTTTTGATGTTTTTGCTATTAAGATTTTTATTATTATTATTATTATTATTATTATTATTATTATTATTATTATTATTATTATTATTATTATTATTACTATTATTATCACCATTATTATTATCACCATTATTATCACTATTATTAGTAGTAGTATTATTATCACCATTATTATCATTATTATTATAATTATTTTTATTATTATTATTATTATTATTATTATTATTATTATTATTATTATTATTATTATTATTATTATTATTATTTATTTTTTTCACCATAATTATCATTATTATTATTATTATTATTATTATTATTATTATTATTATTATTATTATTATTATTATTATTATTATTATTATTATTCGTTCGTATGTTAAGATAATATATTCATTTGGCTTTGAATCTTGTGTTATGTACTATATCTTCGACCCTGCCCTATCCGTTACTATTCATGCAGAGAAACATTAATATCGTTGAAATTATCCTTGTTAGTTACGCCTGCCTTCAGACCGTGCTTGCCAGGTGAGCCACGTTCATTGTACATTAAACTTTTCTCTTCGGTCATCAAAAAAAACCCAGCCCAACATCGTCTTTCACGCTATTCTGTTGATTTTTTGCGTCCTGGCTACACCTTCCTACTATACATCAAGTCCCACCACAAATGTATAGTCCACAATAACTTTAATTTAAAGCAATTTTCTATCACACTGTCAAAAATATTCCATTCTTAAAAGAGTTTAAATTCTGTTGCAAAGCTTTCAATAATTTAATTAAATGTTATGCTCTAGTCCAATTGTACGAGGCCTTGATTGAGTCCGTAATAAATTATCTTTCAATCAGTTTGAGGTCTATACATATATTGATACAACTTGGTAATTAGCACATGCGGTACGTAGCATGACACAAAACTAATACATTGGTATACTAGTGAATGGGATTGCACAATAAAACGACACATTTAGAAAAAGAAAGGCAATGGGTTGCTTTTCTTAATAAATAATTTGCTTTTTAAGTGAGAAATCAGTAGCACGAATACTCAAACTAGCAGATGGAAAATGTTGTCTTACAACAATTTCCATTTGAATGGCATTTCTGTGTGAAAGTGTGAGCTTTGGCATTGCGTCCCTCTTCTGCTGAGATATTTACCACAGTAGTACTGTAATAACGAAGATTTGAAAACATTTTGAACTGTAAATGCGTTCAATGAAGACGAATGCCACACAAGAGTGCCATAACACTGGCCTAATCGTAAAACCTAAACGGACAAAAGAATGAACGTAATGATATAATGATAGCTATAAATGGGACTGTACGGTCTTCATAAGCAATACAATCTCTCTCTCTCTCTCTCTCTCTCTCTCTCTCTCTCTCTCTCTCTCTCTCTCTCTCTCTCTCTCTCTCTCTCTCTCTCTCTCTCTCTCTCTCTCTCGTGGCATAGTGGTTAGAATGTTCGCCTCGGATGAGGGAGGTCGCGGGTTCGAAACCCAGCCGAGTCATACCAAATACTTACAAAAATGGTACTAATATTAGGATATAAAATTTGGGTAGAGAAATAAAAAAGTATATAGGACTGTGTTGGTTCATATAAAATTTGGGTAGAGAAAAAAAAAACAGTATATAGGACTATGTTGGTTCATATAAAATTTGGGTAGAGGAATTAAAAAGTATATAGGACTACGCTGGTCATTACAAATTGGGATTAGTTACAATTTGAATAGCTTGGTTCAATTCAATGGCTTGAATGACATGGGGACTGACTTACCTTGGAGGCCGCCTTTTCACAAATGTAATACAAAATCGCCTGAGTCAGATGTACAACAATAAACGAATCACTCGCTTCTTTTCAACCGTTCCTTACAGATTGAGATTAGCTACAAAATTGGATAACCTTGTTCAATTTCATAGCTTGGAATCAACTTGCATTTGGGGCTGCTTTTCACAAACATAATCCTAAAATAGCTCGGGTTCAGAATTCATAACAATAAACGAATTACTCTCTTTCTTCACTGTAAAAAATTAATTAGCCGAACAAATCATGTATTAATCAATGTTACCAGTGGTAATCGATGTTGCGAGTGGAATAAAAAGACGATTTACCAAATTATCCATAATCCATGTTAAGAGTTGAACAAAAGCAATAACCTCTTTACAATAAATACATTAAAATGGACATTCAGATTTGGACATGTATGTTATTGAACAAAAGCGATAGCCTCTTTACGATTCTGATTGGACTAAGTAGTGATTCCACGACATTTCGGAATCTTTACAATAAGGCATTCTGATTTGGGGCACGTAGTTGTTTTACGTCATTTTGGAATATATAAGGCCGAGCCTATCTAAGAACTCAGGTTAATTAAAGCCCCAAGTCAGAAATCTTATTCATAGTTACAGCGATTCCCGCTACCTCTTGCTACCAGAAATTCCCCAAAGATGTACCAATGTTAAGCGCCACCTTACTCTTAAAGGGATCACTCCTTTCTCTCTCTTCCTCTCCATCCAGAGCCGAAGATTCATTCTCCTAACCAAAGTGGCGCTCTACAGTTTCGCATTTATCATAGGGTTAAAATTTTAAAGAAAAAAAGTTTCGCCGGGTTGCCTCACTAGTTATACTGGTTATTTAAAAGAGACTTTGTATATCTTAGGTGTTGTTCAAAGAACCTTTAATTCCCTTTATTTTGATGTATGATTGATGGGTGTAATATGGGTTATAGAATATACAGCTTGGCCTTACTCCAGATGTGCACCTTTCAAAAATGTGCTAGCTCTACTTGCTCATTTTCACTTCTCGAACTTCAGAGGTAAATTATAAAAAAAAAAGAGCCGATAACTTTTTTTACATTTTATGTATTTGGTAATTCAGTCATTGCACTTTTAAAAGCTGGTATTATCTAGTTTGGCAAAATTCATTTTCCATATTTTAATAGCTGCCAAGAATAGTGTACTTTAGACAAATTTAGGTTGATTTTTGGAGCACAAGGGAGCAGTCATTTTAGTTAGCAGTGTCCCAAGATCATTTAAAATTTCCAAAAGTACAATATCCAAAGAAATTTCATGCACATTACATGAAAGTAGTATATAGGTATGCCAACATTCTCTCCACCGTGCATGTTTAAAATGCAAACAACTTCACCTTACATACATCACTCTCTCAAAAGTACATAACAACTGGTGAGCGCCACCATAAAGAGAATATAGGTATTATTATTGTATGATTTAATTTTGATTGTACGACTGAAATATTTAAGTCGCAAGCATCAAAACAGTCATTTGTAATAATTGTCATGTATTTCCCCCCCCCCCCTCAGAACAGCATTTATTAGAGTCAGTCTTAAACCGGTACAGCCCCCCCCTCATTATGATAAAAAGTGAACTATTTTAAAAATGCGCTTTGCATTTTGTTAACATAGCATCCAGTGTTATGCTGATAGACAGGAACATGAAACTAGCCATATTTATTCCTGAGATGTCAACAATAAATTTTACAGTTATAAAAGGGATATAACAGGTGAGGTTCATAAAGTTCAAAGGTCAAAGGGTAAATATTAACTAATTCTTTGATATGGAGAAAAGCAAATTTGCTTTGTTATCATTTATGTTTTAATTTCATTGCAAATAAATGAAATAAAACATTTTCACTATGGATTTTTTTTACTTAATGCAACATTTTTCAATTTAAGTTGACTTTATTCCTATATTCTAAGACTTCTAATTTCCCCATAATGAAGGTCACTACTCACCCAAACATGCCTCATATCAAATTATGTTTGCTAGAGCAAAAATAAGCATAATTAGCTTATTTTCATAAATAAAATCATTATTAATATACCATTTTACTCAGAGCATCATACATAATAATATGAAAATAAGAAAAATAATTTCATAAATGTTTATATTTGTTTTTAAGGTGGCGCTCTACAGTTTCGCATTTAGCATAGAGTTAAAATTTTAAAGAAAAAGAGTTTCCCAGGGTTGCCTCACTAGTTATACTGGTTATTTAAAAGAGACTCTGTATATCTTAGGTGTTGTTCAAAGAACCTTTAATTCCCTTTATTTTGATGTATGATTGATGGGTGTAATATGGGTTATAGAATATACAGCTTGACCTTACTCCAGATGTGCACCTTTCAAAAATGTGCTAGCTCTACTTGCTCATTTTCTCTTCTCGAACTTCAGAGGTAAATTGTAAAAAAAGAGCCGATAACTTTTTTTACATTTTATGTATTTGGTAATTCAGTCATTGCACTTTTAGAAGCTGGTATTATCTAGTTTGGCAAAATTCATTTTCCATATTTTAATAGCTGCCAAGAATAGTGTACTTTAGATAAATTTAGGTTGATTTTTGGAGCACAAGGGAGCAGTCATTTTAGTTAGCAGTGTCCCAAGATCATTTAAAATTTCCAAAAGTACAATATCCAAAGAAATTTCATGCACATTACATGAAAGTAGTATATAGGTATGCCAACATTCTCTCCACTGTGCATGTTTAAAATGCAAACAACTTCACCTTACATACATCACTCTCTCAAAACTACCTAATAACTGGTGAGCGCCACCCAAGCAGTGAGAAGACAGAAGAAGGTTATATTAAGAAATAACAGTCACATAATCAACAAGAAAATTCTTACATAACACTAACATACGCCTCGCTTGGCATTACGTTTGCGAAAAGCTGCCCCCAATGCGATCAGCAGTAAGAGATTAGTGTTAGTTGACCTGAACTTAGGATAAGGTGACTGGTTGGGACATGGTGCTACATATATGTGGCATGAAGTCCACAAAGATGAACATCACTATAAACTGCCACACTGCGGACATCATAGCGATGTGACTGAATAATTGGTAAAACTACGCTCTCTCTCTCTCTCTCTCTCTCTCTCTCTCTCTCTCTCTCTCTCTCTCTCTCTCTCTCTCTCTCTCTCTCTCTCTCTCTCTCTCTCTCTCTCTCTCTCACACACACTCACACACATATCAATTTATAAAAACAAAAATATCTTTTTGCTATGAATAATTATCACTACTACACCCTCTTGCAAGCTTGTTTTTGAAATCCAACCCATTTCGTGAGTGACGTTTAAAACACTGGGCAATAAATGATAGTCATATTTAGTCAATCTAGAGTCAAAAGCATGAAATAATATGGATTTGGATAAGCACTCTAGAAGATGCAACAAATTGTCTTAAACGATACAATGTTTCATTATAATATGACAATAATTCAAAATATTTCTTGTAAAAATAATTAATTGCGAAGGCAAGGTAAATTCGAATATATTTACCTGCAGGAAAGAAGATAAAAGTGGAAAATAAGAATGACTGTATATAACAATCACGGAATTGTATTCGACATCACATAATTACGGGGGGCCCCGAGTGGCCTTATTGGTCTAAAGCGCTGTCCGTTACGGACCACTGCCATCTCACCTCTGCGTGAGTTCGAGTCTAGGATTCGGCGAAGGTGGATATGTGAGAAAGCTTGCCAGTAGCTTCTCTTAGGTCCGGTGATTTCCCGGTCTCGTCCTCCACTATTAATACTGGCCGCCATGTATAGCCTACCGTGTGCTGAAAAATGGCGTTAAGCCCAACAACAACAACAACAACAACAACAACATAATTACTGAATTATGATCCATCGTCAAGCGGGTCTTGAAATATCATTTTAATCTCTAACAGTATCAGTATTGGACGTAAACACGCGACAGTGACTTGACACATAGATAGCAGCAATTCAGCGTAGATTACAAAGCTATCTCGATTGATTCTCATTAGATCATTCAGGATGCTATAATTTTCGCCAAATGGATTCAAGATCAAGTTTTGTTTTACACGTGAGCGGATGTGAATTTATCTTGGTCTAACTTTTGCTTTTCTGTTGTTTCTTTGTTTGTATTTTTTGTGTTAGATTTGTGTTTTATTTTCAGATCGAGTGTATTTGTGTTGATTATTTTCTTCTCTTTTTTAGAGTAATAGTGCGGAGAAGTTTGCCACTGTGTTTCTGTATCGATAAAGGTGCTTCTGGTAGGTCTCACTATAGATTCCGTGCAGACTTATACATGATAAATTTTAGGGAAAATATTTTAAACGATATTGGTGTTCTCTAATACCTTTCCAGTTAGAAACATTATGTATTCATAATTGCACCTTCCACAATACATACTATACATTATACCGATAACAAGGGAGGGTACGCCAACTCCTGATGTAACCTGAATTATGATTGAGTGAAGATGGAGGTCAACCAATTTCTGATAGAGGCTGAATAATCATGAAGTGTAAAAATATTGAAAGAAAAATCAGAGGGCATATAATTTAACTTAAGATGGGGTTTCGAATTCTTTTTATGAACTGGACCTTTCCGTCCTTCGTTGCCACTAGTACACTACATAATATTGCATATAGCGAAAAAAAAGTATTTAGATGTGAAATCATATGTGGGGTGGGGTGGGGGTGGGGCACTTGCACCTTTGTGCTATTTGAATTCTGATATAATATACACT